AGTTTCCACACTTTGTGAGCAAAATTGTAACTAGGTAGAGGCGAGATTTCAAAACCACAAAGAAAACATAAAGGATGTGGCATACACTTCGTAAGACGCAAACAGGGTGTCTTCAGCCTTTGTTTCAAGTACATTATGTTGGTTTTTAAAAAAAACGGCGAAGATTTTTTGACATGTTCTCAGAGTACAGAGTCATGGTAGAAGTGACCCATAATGCGATTTGAGAATCTGAGCCAAAAGAATGAGTGCAGGAGATATTCAGAGACTGTAAGAATATATAACAGAGCAATCGATAAGGTGATGAGCTAACATTACAATTAAATCCAGTGCTCAAAATTAGATCAGACTTCACTAGTGAAATAGTTTACATTCACGTTAAGCCCAAGAGCTCTAAATGCTATTTAGATGACTACATAAAGTCATTTTAATTTAGATTTAGTTTATTTGCAACTAAAGATACAATTCGTATGAATACATTCCTGAGGTATAAATACTATCCCCATGGGCACTACTTTTTTCAGGGTTACAAAATTGTACTAAGAGGCTTTATGATTCATGTGGTAACCATATAACAGCAATAAAAACCTATGGGAATAACAAAAGAAGGGTATAAATAAACTACATGGAAATGTATGGCACGTATCCAAAAGATTTCTTTGTTCTATTTGAAAAATGGACTTGTTGCTTGGATTCCATGCTCCCAATGGTGTCACACACATGTCAGGTATCCGATCTTAGGCACATTCTCATCGAAGTTCTGAAAGGCCTACCACAAGGACAGCATTATTCGAAAGTGTAACAACTTTTACATGCGGTTCATTGCAAAGTGGCAACTCAGCCTAATACATGCATTTCTGTGGCACTTTTGGTTTAGCATCTCGCAGAGCCTAGTCCTAGGCTTGTTAAAAACAGGTGACATATAAGTGAGACAGCAGAAAAATATGAGGAACCTCTGCAAAATACATCGAAATATAGCTTCCCACTGGGAAAACAAACATAAGAAATTCATCTCAAAACGTCTCTGTATACTATAATTGAAGATTATTTCGATTAAAGCAAAAACACAATAGGTGTTGATGTGCGTATACATATTTAGTTAAAAGTGAAAAATCCACTCCCTTTCTAAAGTAGACGGAATGCACTGTGACGTTTACTTAATTACTGACTATCACCTTCAGGTTGGTGTACTGAAGATGTACATATCCCTAAAGTGTTATCAGCATTACCATTCACAAACTGTATGTGCATAGCAGCGTCCTTTCCTACATTACCGGACGTCAGTTACAAATCTTGCCAAGTCAACAAATACCATGGTCAACCCTCGATTCCCTCCAAACTTTGACATTATCAGAAAAAGAAACATGACAGACTTAGTGATTCTTGATAGTTCATGAATGCCCAAGATAAACAGAAAAAGACTAAGGTGTGTCATGTAGTTGTCCGTCATTTACTAACCCCCCATGAACAAATTTGGAGTAAATCCTTACTCAGTGTCATTTACAGCAAGGAACTCTGGTTCATGTGAGCAAATCGCTACTTATCCCAAAAATTTTCAGTTTCAGAAGCAACCTGTGGTTAGCCATAAGTGCCAGTTTCCTAATGTCTCAAAACTTTTCCTATCTACTGCCCTGAGTAATTCTGTTGAGCAATAAAAACGTCCGCTGAAGCCATACAATTAGATAGCAGGTTATTGTTTTGCATATAGACACAAATGCTTTACCCGATTTCCTTATTTTAGATCTCATCCACAAAACTATCAGGCAATAATTATATTAATCATTCTTCTCATAGATACAGTAGTATATTTTGACTGATGTACAGTCTAAAAAAGGCGGTCAACAGACCGGTTACGTAGGTTGTACGCTGCTTGAATACTATTCAGTGTATCTCACTAACGTCCCTTAATTATTGCAACTTACAGTTCTAATTATGTCGCAACGATCAATATGAAAAGATTGTTTCTAACCAGTGCTTTAAATCCAAAGTTTGCATCCAGTAAAAGTCCCTGAGCACAGAGATTGATAAAAAGTACTTTAATGTAGACTTTAATTTGTTCTTATAGCTTTCAGTGACCTAAATTGTATTTACCTATTAATTAAGCTGGTTACGCCTGATTACACAGACGTTGACCCAATCACAGGAGGATTTTCATTAGACCTAGAATATGCAGATGACATAGTCCTGTTAGACGAAGACGCTAACAAGATGCAGAGTCTTCTGAAAACCTTGAGTACCAATTTGAGAATGTTTGCGATGCGTTTCTCACCACCCAAATGCAAATTGTTGCTCCACAATTGGTCTTCAACAGTGCCACGCCCAACAATAAGGAGTTCAGTGATTCAGTGTGTTAACCACTTCACTTACCTGGGAAGGAAGTGGAATCACCAATGATGGCTCAGTTGCCGATGAAATCTCTCCATAAATACAAAAGGCTCGACTGGCTATCACCAACTTACGCCACCTGTGGCACCGCCGTCATATCCGATTGTCTGCTAAGGGTCGCGTGTACTGGACCTCCACAGCAGTCCGCTCCGTCCTACTGTATGTCTGTGAAACATGACCATTCAAGGTGGAAGACAAGAGAAGGCTGGCTTCAAGTGTTTGACCAACATTGCCTTCGTAGTATAGGATGTATTCCGTGGTGTCACCACGTGAGTAACGCACAAGTCAGGATCAGGTGTAGAGTTTTAGGGAGAAGAGGTGTGTCGGTTGACGAGGTCGTGGACCTTCATCGACTGAGATGGTTGGGACACACGTTACGTATGCCTAGTCACCGACTGCCTCGTCATACAATGTTGGCCGAAGTAGTTTCAGTCTGGAAAAAGGTTCGAGGCGGCCAGACTAAAACATGCTATCAATGTATGGAGTTCTTGACTGTTGATTTGAGTCATGTAGGACGATGTAGATTAGCCGGTTGAGGTCCGCGGGACAAGAGGGACCAGTGGTTGGAGACTCAAGGTGATGGCATGGCTCAGAACCGATGTCAGTGGAGCAGATGTATGCATACATTATCCTCATCTTAACGACGCTATACCGAACCTCACCACTTTCTCATTCTTCCTTTCCCTGTTAGAGTACTTTATATTTCTTTTGACTGAATTTTCTTAACTTCATCTTGCACCTCACTGGCTTGTTACTTGATGTACTGATATGAGGTGTGGCAACTCAAACCTTTACGCAGTAAAGCCTGGTCCTAGGTTGATCTGGATGGAGCTTTTAACACCGTAGTTCATGAAGTAGAGGAGCTCCTTAATGTTCTGCTGAGAACTGGTTACGATGGATTTCAAAGAAATGAAAAATATTAACAATTCATGTTCAAACAAGACTGTCCCAACCAACCAATAGCATATAAGTTAGCCATTACTAATCTTGGACAAGGTTCACGCTTGAGGCACAGAAATAATTTCGAAATCTACTACATTAGTTTATGTATATAGGGAACGACTAGCACAAAATTACAACAGCGCTACTCTGTTTAGGTGATTTTACAGACTAACAATAGAACTTTTGCTTTCGTTTGTTTCCAAAACCTCACTGTAAGAAAGCTTATCACTCTTACGTCTTTCTCACTTGCTGCTAATCGGAATTCGGTTATTACTACACCTTTGAATCTTTTGGATTCACTCAGTACGACGCATGTCTTTACAACCAACCCGGTTACTTCTGTTGTCCTCGACTTGACTTAGTTTATTTATTACCGAAGATGAGCATTTGCTTTCAAATATCTGCTAATGAATGTAAGTTGTTCCACAAGTTTTTCTGATGTGCAAAGCCTCTTAGCCACGTTCTGAGTAGCCCTTACCTATAAATTACAGAAAAGAAGCTAATAAAATGGAAACTGCCTTTCCCAGGCTCTTTCTGTAAATGCATCCTCCAGCACAACCTATCTCTTCTTTGTTGCAAAACCGAGATAAGGAATTCATTTTTGTCTGATAATCTACGGTCGCGTATACCTCAAAAGGGGTTTCAAATAAATTCATCTCACTGTAGAAAACAAAATTACCAACTCTGTTCGCCAACGTACATTCTATACAAGAAAATGACTAATAACCAGTTAAACTAGTCCTCTTGGAGTTCGCAATAAAATATCTACGCAAGATGATATTCCAAAAGGTTTCCCATCTCAATATCCATCCTTTCGCAAAACTAAATTTTACTGATATTATCAAAGAAAGCATGCTGAGTCGTCAACCACCAAGAGACTTAATGCTACATAGAGTTCGATTAAGTTGAAAGAAAGCTACAAGTGACCAGACAAAGAAATGCTATCATCCGATGTCTGAGCCATGCATAGTGGTGTAGACCGCCTACTTAGGTTTTTAACGATTTTAAGAACCAATGACTGGACACTAATGATATGGCTAAGAGCTGATTACAATGGCATAAGATGTATTCACTTTTTATCTTGGAGATTTTGTGTTTCAATTTATTCCTATTCCCTACATCGACATCACTCTGTAATGCTGTGACTTGAAATAAATCACTTCTACGTGAGACTGTCTTTTGATTTCTCTGTCTGGCGAATAAACTATATTGACAGTATAGGAAGAAAGCATGCATCTTCACATGTAACCGTATATATACAAAAAAGCGATAACTGAAAAAAATTTCGCTAGAAAGTGACATTATTCAGAGAATCAAACTTACATTCCAACCCTTTCCGAAGTGAACATACAGATCGCGCGTCAAACACATATGACTTGGTTAAGTCCATAGTTCACAGATACACACTTACTAGTAAGTTACCGACTAGTACTACTCGGCCGGGTATGGAGAATGGATTGTGAGCCTTTGGTTAGTTCCAAAATGAAGTCAAATTAAACTGAGCAGTTATTATCCAAAACTGCATGAGATGTGAATGAGTACGATTAAACCACTATAAGTTCTTACACTTTAGTTGCTCATACAAAGTGTGTTTCCTTACGTCACTCATATTTGGCAGTTGGATGGTTACTATAAAATCACATTTACCCTTACAACACACTGATAACATACAATTTCAGTAATTCATCGTATTTAAAAGTTAGCATTAACTAACAACAACAAAACAAAGAATTATATGTACAATGACGATGAACATAAAGTTACTGCACTACCCAGGAAACAGAATCAAAGTGTACAAATAAACGAAACAAAATAGAACTATAGTACAATTTTTAAATAACATATACAAGAATAATTTAATTCAAATGCAATAATCACCGGTTAACTTTCCACTTCAAATTAACAGAGAAGGACACGATTGAGAGTTGTAGGCATGAATAATTTCAAAAATATCTTCTGCTGAACACGAAGATTTTGAAAGTAGCTGTTGACGCATAATAAGAGATAGAAGTGTGTTTCGCTTTACGAGTATCTTATCTATGTAGACCGATTCATATGAACCAACCTGAAAACCAAACAATGGATTATTATGGTAAACTTACATTAGAAAAAAATACTTACCGCAACACAGAAGTTTGTTTTTATATGATGATGGTGATGAGTGAGTTAATGATACTGATTACTGCGCACAGATTAAGTGTATTTAAGCAAAAAGATTTAGTGATATTACTATTTTCTGAATAAAATTCACACATGTAATAATTATATAAGTTTATATCGGATGAGTATACTCTTTCACAAAAAAGATAGTACAAACAGCTTAGAATAATGCAAAGAGTGATAATGGTCAAAATACCGTTATACATGATATATGCATCCCTGATTTTTCGCTCTCTCTGCACTTAACTCACAACTCTTACACTGACTCATCCAAGCCCCCCACCCCCAAACGATACATAATACATGGAGCTCCAATCACTCTATTATAAAAAGTGCATAATAACTCTTATAGGTGATCAGAATTAAGAGCACCTACTATTTTCACATCTAATTGATTTCCTTTCAAATGTTTACTTCTACATAAGAGATATTTGTGCTTCGGATTTAACTGGTTAATTTACGTTTCGAAACATACAAAGAGCTATCCTGTTTCTCTATTTTCCAAGGAAACTCAAATTATGTCTATTTACCTATGAGATATCTTTTTATAAAGGCCTTAATAAAACCTCTGCACACTTCAGATGAGTTTTCTGTTTTGAGAATAGTTATTATAACAAACAAGCGTTTTACTCATCGGATGGCATTTTTAAAGTTCAATCAGACAGTTCAAAAAATATTTACTGATGTGTATTTTTGAGATGAATGGGGATTTTAATTTAGACGTAGTATTCATCATGGACTGATATGTTTAAAAACAGTTGGTGAAAACAGCCATGTTTCTAAAATATGTACTTTGCAGCTAAATTTTTACACAATATCCATTACAAACAAGAATCTATAGGAAGTATCTAAGTGATAACCTTACAGCACGAATACACCGTAAGTAGATAAAAACACATTCCAATTTTACTAGTTTCTCCCTGTCTAGAGAAAAGTCAAGAAAACTACTGTCACTAAAACTCAACATGCTAGACTTAAAAAAGATTCCACTTGGGTAATACTTTAACATCAATAAATCTGTGTGACAGTGGACCAGCATAACCCTAAACAAAAGCCCACTTGCAAAGTTTATATTAACACATTTTGGTACGAACGATAATCTTGGTACTCACTTTATCCAACATCACTTCGGGTATTTGTTTGGCAATATCAAAGGCCATATCCTGTAGTTTTCTAAGAATATCAGATTTAACAGGAAGCCATCTTTCAGTTAGATAACGGTTAATCTTAAACTCCGACGCCAAGAGTTTTACAAAGCGTAGTCGAAAATCCTGAACTTCGGTAGCCTTTAAAATAGTGTTGAAAAAGTATGAATAAAAAGTTATCACAAAGCCATAAAACATGTGTAATATCATTATAAATACAAATACAAAACACACTATGCATAAATAAGCTAGAGCTGATGACCAAAGAAACTTGTCGATTCATCATAAACCAAAATGCATCATTCACAAAATAAATAAGAACACAGTTATCCCATTCGAAAAACGCATCTTTTTAATCAAGCAAGTGATCCTGAGGATATAAAAGGTAAGTGTGAATATACAAAAATGTACGATAACTGGGAATCAGAATGACATAATGCTGAGAATATGTTAATGGAAGACACATTCAGCTGAGATAACACAACACGTGAAACAGTTATTGTGACCGAACCCCATTTAGGTGGATAACGAAGAACGGAATAACTATTCATCAATTCATACAGTCCTCTGCACCAAAAAAGGTAGGGGCACCCAATAGGTGAGAAGTTGAGTTGACTGCAGCGAGTGATTTAAAATAAACAAAGAAAATAAAATACGATGCAAAGGATTCTTACATTGTAGTAGAAGTTCTGAGCCGAATAAAAGAATATCAAAACCAATTGAAGAAAAATGAAAGTTTAGTCATGATAAACCAGGACAAAAGCTTCGCTTATCGGGTTTTACGATGCCCCATTTATACGGTCTTCTCGAAATACACAGAAGAGGCATTTCACTCCGTCCAATACTAGACATGATAAACTCTCCATATCATTCAGCCACGAAATGGCTTGTGGAAATACTTGAACCTGTAAAGAAGAGGCTGTTTAACCACAGTTACTGTGACACATTCTACTTTGTTTATTCAATTAGGAATGCTAATTTGGCAGTTAAAAGAATGATTTCAATGGATATTGTGTCCCTCTTCACACATGTCTCATTGGCAGAAATCATCTGCTTCTAAATTGAACTCATCCAATGTCATAACTTAGATGTTAGTATTCCATTTCAATACTTAAAAGAGTTTCTTCTTCGATGTAGCCTCAATGTACACCACAGATTTAATAATGAAATCTGCGAGCAGATAGATGGTGTTGTAATGGGTTCTTTACTACGACATCTCCTAGCTGACTGCTTCATGACAAGCATAGAAAACACCAACTTAACAATAACTATCAATGAACCTCGTGTCTGAAAAAGATATATTGATGATACCTTCTTACTTTGTGGTGAGAATATGAATCTTGCAAACCCGCTTCATACTTTCAACAACCCCCACCCCGCAAATAAATTCATTCTAGAATCAGAATCAAACTCAACCTTCCATTTTCTTGATGTTCAAATCCAAAGAAAAGATGATGATTCACCTTGCAGATCGAACTACAGAAAGCTTAACCCTACTTGGAACGGACAGTTTATTGATCTTCTAATTTCGGTCACTCTAAGTAGCAAGAAACCTTGCCTAGTTTACAACTTCACTTGTTACTAGCCTTTTCAAAGCCCGGATAAAGAGGGAAGGTTGAGCATAGGGCTAACAATCCTACACCATAAAACCAATCCAATCCCTGAAGAAACTTCAAAGCACAAAAAAAATATATAAACTAAAACTAAAACTTATTCCTCGCTGGAATCGGAGAAACGAAATGACCCCGGTTGGTGAAAGCCTTCGGGAAGCCAATTGGCCGATGCGTATTCGCTTCTCTCGATGGAAGCAAAAGCAAGCATAGGGACATGGAATATCCAAACAATGTTTGAAGCTGGCCAGCAAGGCTTCCCAGATTGCAAAAGAGATGAGAAGGTGTAGCATAGAAGTGCTAGGCTGGGAATCTGCGAAAGCAGATGGAATGGAAGTCGACTCTCCCAACTGTCAACTGGACAGTCAATAATATACTCCGACATTGTCACCTAAACGACACTGAGTTCTTGAGTGGTTATCATTATGCCTCCAACAGCAACGAAGGCTCTCTCTCTCATACAGTGGGAGCCAGTCTCCTCCCACAGGATCATGACAGCAAGATTTAAATCAAAAGGAAGGAAAGTCACAAACATACAATGCTACACTATGCTACGCACCTACAAATAATGCAGATCAGGAGAAGGAAGAATTCTACAGACAACTGCAATCAGTACTCGGCAAGACCCCACCCCACTTAGCGACATCAAAATTCATTCTAATGGGTGGAGTGGGGTGACACGAATGTTAAACTGGGAGCAGACAACAAAGGAAGAGAACCATTCATGGGTCTAGAGATATTCAGTGAAATGAAGAATGAGAATGGAGAACTGTCTCCAGACTTCTGCGCATTCAACGATTTGGTGATTGGAGGCAAGGCAGTGTGTACAAACACAAGGATATTCACAAGGCAGCGACAGGGATTTCACCACACACCAGCACACACTACACTAAAAATTAGATTGACTTTATCTCACTGTGAAGAAAGTGGAGACGCAGCCTACTAAACACGAGATCAGATCAAGAAGGGGAGCAGATGTAGGTGGTTCACACCACTCACTATCTAGTGCAAGCAACCTACCTTCAAAATCAAGTTGGAAGAGTTCACAGAAGTTGATAATGGGCCGCAGTTCAAGTTGAACACCCAGAACAGAAACCAACCGAAGAACGAGACTACAAAGGATATCTTCACGCCAGTCAGCCATCACGAAAAAAATGCGAGACACTAAGCAACAACTTCGAGGAACCCTACGTGGAAGAACACTGGAACTCTTTGGAAGAGATGTGGAAGGAAACCTGCACAACCGTGTTAGGAAGGAAGAAGACGTGAGACAAGGAATTGATCTCCACGGACACATGAAAGCTGATAGAGCAGAGAGGGGAGGATGGTGAAGCAGAAGATGAACCAGTGCAGTGTGGGGATGAACAACGAAAAGAGGAGCTGAACGCAACCTATAAAACACTACACTGGACAAAGAAGTGAAGAAGAGTGCGCGCAAGACGAAATAAACTTCTACGACATAATACCAAGTGAAGCAGAACAGGCTTCAGGCTACCGGTAAGAGGGACAGAGACAGACAACACTGTATCAAATAACCAGGTTACTCACTGTCTAGGAAGACATCAACACTGATGAAACCAATTAAAGATAGTGAAGGAAACCTAGTTATCAAAGAGAGAGGAGAAAGAAAGAAAACGATAGGCTGACCACCTCAAACAACTCTTGAATCGACCATCACCACCACCACCACCATCTGCAAGTCGCTCAGAAATACCACCAGCAGCCCAGCCACAGAACTACAAGTGAACACAAGCCGTCCGACAAAAGCAGAAGTGAAGTCTTGAACGCCATAAACTTGCTGAAATCCGGGAAAGCAGCAGCGCCAGATGGAATTCCTCCAGAAGCACTGGAAACATACGCACAGACACCAACAGCAGACATTCTCACACCACTATTGCGGGAGGTTTGGAAGGAAGGAAGGCAGGAAGGAAAGGTACCTGGTGACTGATTGGAAGAAGGGCTATCTTGTCAAACTTCCAAAGAAGGGAGACCTACGTCTTTGCAAGAACTGGCCGGGAATCATACTCCTGTCCCAGTCCCCCTTAGCAAGCAAAATATTAAGCCGCATCATCCTGGAGAGACTAAAACGAAAATGCTCTGGATTCAAAATTACGACCGGAACAGCCTGGCTGGATTCGGAAGAAACAAATCATGTGTGGATCAAATCGCAACGCTACGCTACGCATCATCATAAAACAGGGTATACAATGGCGTTCAACTGGATCGTTACCTCAACTTCATCGACTTTGAAAAGGCCTTCGACAGTGCCGACCGAGAAGTAATTTGGCAGGCAGCTGATTCAACACTACGGTTTTAGTGCCACAAACCTTCATCAACCTCATTCAACAGCTATATGCTATATGATGCTACATACCAAGTGATTCACAAAGGAAAGCTCAGTCATGCATTGGGAGTGAAGACAGGAGTAAGATAAGGCTGCCTACCATCACCGATGAACTATCCCACTGTGGTCTACTCGACTCGACTGGATCATGCAACGAACTGTGAGGAGTGAGATGATAGGCATACGCTGATTACACCGATGAAAAGATTTGGATTTCGCCAACGATGATGACTTATGTCTAATGTCTTGTAGCACAAACTCAAAGATCTACATGCAAAAACTAACAAGTTGACAGAAGAGGTGAGGCAGCGAAGACAGCACTTCAAGTGAGTGTAGAGAAGACAGAGGTGATGAAGATACTCAACCAACAGCAACAAAAAAAACACCAATCATTATCAACGGGAGAAACTTAAAGGAAGTAGTCTCTTTCACCCATCTGCCTACCTACTTAGGCAGTATCTTTTCAACTACAGGTGGTGGCACAAATGAAGACTTCAAAGTCAGGATCGGAAAGACAACAAGACAGGTCTTCATTGATCTGAAATCAGTGTGGAAATCTACTTCACTCCACTCCACTCAGCATAAAGAGTGAACAAGATCCGGATTTTCAACACTAATTCAGTCAAGTCAGTGCTTCCGCATGGTTCAGGAACTTAGTGCGCTATGAAAAGTATTTCCAACAAACTACAGACATTCACCAACAGCTGCCACCTACGCTCACTCAATACTGAAGATCAGATGGCCAGAGAGAATAAGAATAAGCAACTAGAAACTCTGGCTGGCTGTCTGGCTGGCAAGGAACCAACCAAGAACCCATCACCCAACAAATATGCAGAAGAGAGTGGAGATGGATTGGATTGGACATACACTGAGAAGACCATTTGGGGACATCACGCACCAGGCCAGGCCCTCGAGTGGGACCCAAAGGGGAAACGACGAGGTGGGCGTCTGAGGCGAGGGTGACATGGAGATGGTGTGAGGAAGAAATGAAAGCTTGTGAGCAGTCGTGGAGTCACGTTGCAAAGAATATAAAGAAGACAGTAAAATGGAGAGGTGCTACTGAAGCCCTTTGTCCCACTTGGAACCCAAGGGACAAATAATTAAAAAATTATACGTAGGAAGAGAAATCGTATCCATCCACTTTCTTCGAGGCTCAGGAAAGTACGTAGTGAGGACACTGCTGACGG